ACTATATTTAAAAAAAATTACTTGCTCATAACTTATGTATTCAGATATTAAAAATATATTGCTTTAAATTAAAACTGTAAAATAAATATCACGGAATCTGTTAGCCATTACATTTAGGGGAAGAGTGGCCCTTTTCTATTTGCCTCTTTTGGGGGACTGAGACTGTTTCTGTGATAACAATTTGGATTAGTCATTTATCATCTATATTTGAGGCACTTCTCATTTTTCACTCTATATGGACTTTCCCTAGGATATGCTATTGTTGAACATGCTTCCTTCCTGTATTCTGGCAATAAAAGAAATGCAGTGAGAGGCAAAGGGAATAAGACATACAATGGGTAAATGCTAGAATTTGCTTACTACTTTCCGCTTGTTAAACCTGAGAACTTGTGCACAGGCATCATTCTACTAAATAATTGAATGTTAGGTCGAAGGAACTAATGAATTCACAGTAAAATCATAAAAGTACATATAATAAAATTTCTGTAATACATATAAACACATATAATATATAAACAACATGGATCAAAATTAAATAACAAGAACAGCTACTTCTGAATTCTTATACTAGAAAATACTTTATTCAATTCCCTAAATTTATATTTGATTTTTCAAATAAATGGAATAAAAAATGATTCACTTTCTAAGGTTAAAAAAATTGTTGAATAATTTCTGTTTAGAATCAGTCATAAAACACTTACTGATGCTATAAAATTCCAGACATTCCCATTTTATGGAAGAAGAAATGAAAACAAAACTAACAAAGAAGTTAAGTCTCCCTTTTATTTTCAAATATTATCTTAATATTTTCAAATATTTGCATAATAGCTTAAAAAAAACTGATATGATTGCACTCTTGCAAATATCCAGAAAAGTAAGTTATGTATAATAAAGTAATACACAAATTTTAGTGGCATCCCTTAAAAGCATCATGTGTGTGTAAGCCTTCCATAATTGTCAAGACTGTATATATTTCATCCTAATTAGTCATAAAATTCTTGAAATTGGAGCTGCTTTATTTTCTTTATCCTAGAGAGCTATAATATCTTTTCTGTAACAAGTGCTCAGTTAAATTTGTCAATTGAAATTTTAATGTCTAACTCATCCCTCCAACTGTTAGGTAAGGTGTGTGCAAATTTCAAGTAAGAAATAGAATTATATTTTATGTATGCATGCAGTATCTATTTACCAAATAAATGGAAGAAGTGTAATCCTTTGATAATTGAGGTTCCTGCCAAAATACTGAAATTGCCAGTCCACCAAGGCTGAAGAGTCATACTAGATGCAACAAGTGAAGTTTGCTTTAGTAGTCTGCTCCTTTATAAAGTTACTGTTTAAAGCAGTTCATGAATTATTATCTTAACTATTCAATTTTTTGTAATCCAACCACATTCTAACCAATCACAGCAGTTAATTGTGTTCAGGTGTCAGAATGGTCTGTTTGTAATATATACTTTCATGGAATCATTTAGTGACATTTAAATGTTAATATGAAGAAGTTTTGTGAAACCTGCCTATTACGTTTTATAATATAATTTTGGTGACCTTATAGATGAATGAAAATGCCAAGGGATTATAAAAAAACTTATTTGATTTGTCTTTTTTTTTTTTAAAGGTTCAGGGTCACATTGAAGCAACTAATACAAGTTAAAAATATTGAATATGCGGGCCCTCCCTGGTGGCGCAGCGGGTTAAAGCACTGCACTGAGAAACTAAAGCCACTTCCGCATGAGTTCGATCCCCGCCTGCCCCGGAGGTGACCACATGGCGTGGCAGACCTCTCCTGACCCACCCGCTGCTCCCCTCAGCAGTGTACTTCGTCAGTCAGCCTGTTCTGCTTCCCACTCTGTCTCTGGTGAATCCTCTCACCCTCCGCATCTCTGGCCTGTACCCCAGTTCTGTATGAATAAATAAATAAATCTTTCAAAAAAAATTAAAAAAAATATTGAATATGCATTTACTGTATCTGTTGATGTAAAACAGAGTTCACCTTTTTAAAAGTCAAAAAAAAAAGTGTTCCATTTGGAATACACAGAAATAAGAAATAAACCAAAAGATATATATATGCTAAAATTAAAACTTCAAATAAGCACACAAATTAAAAATATATATATTTCTAAATTACCTAGCAAAAGAACTGAATTGGAAATCACTCTACTTAATATTTTGCCAACACAGTAAAAGAACACACATCCCTGGTCACCCTTCCAAATTCACCATCTCTGTGTACACATCAAATAACATTTATTAACAAACTGGAAAAAGCTAAATTAACAAACTGTCCTTAACATTACCAATATAATTTTAAACATTTATTAAAAGGCCTCAGAATTCTTATTATACCTGATATAAATTTTATCAAGGAAAATAATCCTGTTATGTAAAAATTCAACTATTCTATCGCTCTTTTGTGTAAACATGTAAAAATTGTTAAACAATAATTTTCTATGGCAACAATTTAAATTCTAGGATATTCTTAGTTACAGCAGCAAACACAGAAGCTACTAGTATGTTTAAAGCATTGGAACTAAACACATTATCTTCTTTTTTCCACTTTTTCACCTCACATAACTAAACTCTCTTTTTAATGAATTAAAGGGTAACTTACCCCAAAACAAGATACCCCAACTAACCTACATGGCAATCTTTGTATGTATACTTTATGTAAAGGGAAAAACATAAAAAGAAGCTTAGTATTTCTCAATTAAAGTTTCATGATGAGACTGCAAACTAAATTTTAAGGCAAAGCTAATATATATTAGCTTTATACCAAACTAATATATATATATATATATGTTTATATGTTTATTTAAGTATAGGCACATAGTATATATTTACATAATCGTGATACTTTATCAAAAATCAATAAATGTCGTATATTTTTTTTTAGTGAAATGATTGTTTAGTCTACATGGATTTATAACATATAGTATATATTAAAATATTCCATGACCCTAATATTTAGAATCAATGTATAGTTAAGATTTAATTATTTGAATTTTCATATTTATAGATTCATATAGCACATTCATAGTTTTTCTTAAATGCTAAGTCTTCTTATACACTTTTGGAGAACACACTAAATGTAAAATAATTTTATTGTTTTTCTTTTACTGGAAATATTAAGAGCTGACGATACATCAATTAAGAAGATACAAACTATGTCCTCTTTTGGTTATTTTATTTTTTACAGCTACATATTTCAAAAATGGATAGCCTTCTTTAAGAAAATTTAAGGTAAATATGTCTAATCTGCTCAATTGGTTGATGTTTTAGAATATTAGGGTAATTGGGTTTAAATTCCCCTCCATATTTATCAGATATTTAAACTTTCTCTGCTAAAGTTTGAAATTTCTCATTAGTACAATGGGAATAGTAATGGCCTATTAAATTATTTTATAGCTGGAGGTATTGAATTAAATACTTACATAAATTGTTTAGCACATGCCTAGCATACCATGGCCATTCAACAACAATTGAAGCTAATGTTTTACAAATAAAGTGTAGTCCTTTGACCTTAACTCCTGTGCTTCAGTCGCTTTCCTATTAATATGAAGATTTTTTCTTGCTCCAGTGCATACTCTTTCCAAAAGTTCTAACTTCCTCTCTTAGACTAATCATGGATCCGTTTTGAAAATTCCTATCATGTTTCACTAGATTTATTAGGTGACACTTTCTACCAGAGACATGGCATCATCATGCCATCAATACTTTTCTCTCTAAAGTCACAGTATTATTGAATGAATATGTGACTCTTCCCCTCCCCCTTTTCCATTACAAATGAATCTGTTGACATTTTACCAGGAACCCAGTCGTTCTTCCACAAAGACTTAAATTATTTATGAAAAATTTATAAATAAATAATGACCCATAATATCTGTCATAGGATTGAAGGTTTCAAGTTTTCCACTAGGAAGTACAGCCCACGAACAAAGAATCAAAAGATAAAATGATGAATGGCCTTAGGAATAGTCATGGTTTATAATAAATTTTTTATTTAAAAAGCGTTAAAATAAATAATACATACTCCAGAACATCAGTGTTCTGGGAATTTACTCTTTTAAGAATATGAATTCTAGAAGGCAAATCTTCTTACAACTGCTCTGTGGACTTTCATTATCTGATTTACAATCTCATATATTTAATTGTGGTCTATCTGCATCCTTTCAACACTTTTAACATATCCTAAAGGTGGATATATGGTGGAATGCAGACTCCACGAGCTTGTTTAGCTTGCTTTTTTGTTCCATAACTGCTGATAAAATAGATTACTTGGAAATCCCAGAGGAATATGATTGGGGCCAGTTAGGTTGGCTCATAAAATTCAAATAGAACAATGCTTTTCTTGTTAATTACTGGGTTACAACCAGACATCCGGATGAAGGGCTAGAAACACTTCTTTAAGATAGTGATTGATTTCCATAAAGATGAGTACTTTAACAAATTTCAATATGCAGTTGCTGGGGCGGGGAGGGTGGGTGGCCACTAATTAGTTTTACCGTTTTCAGCAGATGTTGAATTCAAAATGCCAGCAGCATCTCAAATGCGAGCCATTAGGGTTGTCTTTCATCGAAGAGTGCTGACCAATGAAATCTCCACTCTGTTTAATGAGACCGATCTAGGCAGTCAATTAAATCAAATCTCTACTAAAATCCTTAATATATCTGCAGAGTATGCAGCAGCAGCAGAAGCAGCAGCGAGGGGTTTCCAGTATTAATAGAGGGATTCACTGCCGCATTAAGAGGGGGAAAGGAGTGGGCGGAGGGAATGTTGCAAGAAAGACAGTACCTTAACGTCAAGGGAAGCTCTAAGGGAGGGGCTGATGGGGGAGCGAGGCTATGTAAAGGATACGAAGCTAAGGTGTAAGGCGATTAAAGAAAGAGCCTTAATGTAGCTCAAGAAGGGATCCACCCCCAACCATCCTCCTTCCCGGTCCCTTCCACCGCAAATCCAATTTACTAGTTGCAAATAAAAAGCTGGAAAAATGTAAGGACCCAGAGTTGAAAACATTTTCACTTTAATACTGGAAAAATATGCCATTATAAAATCCTCGAATAGAATTAGTAAGTTTCACGTGCTTCCTCGGTTCTTTTTTTTTTTTTCCTACTTTATAAGTAAGATTTACACCAGCACAGAATTGCTACCATAGGATCGCAGCCTAAGCACTAGAGTGACATTAATTGGTCATGCTTAACTGCCTCAAAATCTTTTTTCTTTAATAATTACACTGATACTATAATAGAAATCATGGGTACTTATTTTACATTCAGATGGAAGGCATTATTGGATATGTATAGAAAAATATTCCCCCTTAAAATAAAATAAGACATCACCATCAAAATAAAAGAACCCAAAACAACCCATAAAAACTTCGCTCAACAAAATACATTTTAACTCATAAAAGGGACTGATGATTAGTCATGCAAATATCTTAAATAAAATCTTTACATATTTTTCACAGTAAAAGTACTCTCTGAACTGCCTACCGATCACAAATAATGGCGAAATGGCACTTTCTGATTATACTGTATTTTGTTTATAGAAAGTTTGATACGATGGGACTTATCAGGTAAGAGGGTGGGTGCTGTGAACTTGACGCCTTCTCCAGTCGCGGGGGAGGGCAGCGTCCCTGGAGCGCGTGGAATCCATGCGAGCCATGCAGCACTTTTTTTTTTTTGTCTGAAGTCAAAGTTATTTATTTACAATACATTCATGCCTTCGTGCAACTGCCCATCCCTGCGCAGCCAACAGGGAGCCATCACGCCCCCCTCCTCGCGGGGCTAATCCACAGGGGAAAAATAGATAGCTATCTCTCTATATAGATGTAGGTATATGTATATAAGTATAGGACCTTGGCCGCCATCCCCACCAGCCCTGCAGCTGAGAGCAAGCGCACAGTCAGTTCTTGGAGCAGGGCCCCTGCTGGGCTGTGTCAAAGGGGCTCTCAGCAAGGAGCGAGCTGGCAGCACTCTCCCAGCTCGCCACAGTTCGCTCTTTGTTTCCAGAAGGGAGCTAAGGGGTCAGACCTCTCAGATGAGCGAGTTCATAATGATGTATTTACTTAGGTCCATCAAGCCTGGGGGTGTGCGGACTTGGATTTCAGCTCCTCAATCCCCGGAGTGCCGGCAGGGGTGGGAAGTGGGGGAGACCGCCTCACGGCGCCCCGGCTCTACCCAGGTTGAGGTCTTAGTCTGAGAGTGAGTGGGAGCCACAATCATACACTCTGTGCGCCCCATCTGCGTTGTAAGGCCCATTGTGCCAGTAGGAAGAGTCACAGACAGTCTGCAGGGAATTAATTTCGGACGCTGAGGAGTTGGCGTCCCTTCGCTTAGACCGCTTTCTATTCCTCAGGATAAACACAAGCATGCCCACTACAGTGAAGGCGGAGGTGACAAACACCAGCAGTAGTCCCGGGACCAACACTGAGATGGACACCCTGCTGGTGTCTAGGTAGGAGTTGGAGTGCGTCCCAGTCTCCGCCAACCCAGTGCTGTTTTTACTGTGAGAAGTTAACGTGGGCGAGATTCTCGCGTACAGCTGGGGGCAGATCTCGTCATTAGAGAGGAGCATGAAATCCTTCCTAAAGAAGTTCACTGGCGTCTCACACTTAAGGTCGCTCATCAGCACTTCGGAACCCAGGCGCTCTGCCCATTGCTTAAAAGGCACAATGGTGCAGGAGCACTCCCAAGGGTTTCCGTGCAAGTCTATTTGGATGATGGAGGTTAATTGGTCTAGCACCCCTGCCACCGGGAGGTACATGAAGTAATTGTTGTGCAGGCTAAGCTTAGAGAGCGAGACCCCAGCGAACACATCCACTGGTAGGGACCTCAGCAAGTTGTTGTTGAGAATGAGGATCCTCAGTTTGGGCATAGCATTGAAGGTGCCAGGAAGAATGAGCTGGATCGCGTTATACTCCACATTCAGATACTCGAGGTTTTGCAGCCCCATGAATTTCTCCCGGGACAGCGTGTCCAGGTAGTTGCTATCCATATACAGCCACCGGAGTTCCAAAAGGTTCTTAAAAGTGTTGTTCTCTACAGTGGCGATATTATTGTTGCCAAGATCCAAAAGAATGAGATTCTTGTAATCCACAAAGTGTGATTTTCGGATGCTGTGAATCTTGTTATCTCTCAGGAAAAGCTCCTGCACGTTGGAAAGCTTGGGCTTTAAATCAGCCAAGCTGCTCACGTTCCGGTTGTTGCAGTTCATCTTTAGACCTGACCCTGGGATGTGGTCGCAGCTGCAGCCCCCAGGGCAGGGTAAACCATTGGCTGCGGGTTTGTTTCTGGCGTTGCCTGTGGCTATCGCTGCTGTGGGTCTGATTTTGATCTGCCAATTGCCTGGGATTTTTGTACCTCCATTTGGAGCAGACCCTGGGGTGGCATGATCCTCTTGCCCATTTGTCTTGAAAGGAGTTGGCAGGGGCCCAGGAGCGAAGGTCTCTTCTTGAGCAGGGGGCGCTGGGAGACTAGAATCAACTCTATTTTTCAAAGGACACAAGTCTTGCTCCGTGGTTTCATTGAGGTCTTTGCCCTGCAGTCTAGTGGGGGCTTCGCAGACCACTCGGCCGATCAGTGCATTTTTGGGAATGTTTTCAAGCCACTCTTTCAGGGACAGCAGATCACAGGTGCAGTCCCATGGGTTATCCTCTAGCAGGATTTCAGCAATGCCAGGGATTTGCTCTAAGACCTCCTCATAGGGCAGCGTTTTCAGCCTGTTTCCGCGGAGGTCGAGGTGGGTGATGGGCACATACTGGAACACGTTGGCAGGTAGGGTGCTGATCAGATTGTCATTTAAAATGAGAACCTCCAGCTTGTTCAAGTCCTGGAAGGCTCCTGGGTCTATATCCCGTAATAAATTAAAATCAGCCTGAAGGTATTCCAGATCATCCAGCCCCAGAAAAGTCTGCTTTCGAAAAGACTTTATCTTGTTGTTGTTGATGTGCAGCCTTTTCACCAGCTGCAGCCCCAGAAAAGCCCCGGGAACGATTTCATGCAAGCCATTGTTTTCCATGTGCAAACTAACAGCATTATAAAAGTTAGCGAACTCATTAGGGAAAAGTCGAGTGAGGGAATTGCCATGCAGAAATAGATGGTAGAACTGGGAAGTCGGGGCTGTGAAACGCTGCAGACTTGTAAAGCCCTTTTTTTCACAGTCTACGTGTAGGTCCCCTTCTATCTCATTGCAGGAACAGATCTTCTCTTTGCAAACGTCCCCTGTAACGTTTCCAGCGGCAAAACAAAGAGACGTCTCCAGCAACAGAATCCAAAGCAGCATTTTTAAAGCGAGCAATTCATCCCCGATCTCATCACAAAGTAACAGCGACCATCCTGCTCGCCACAGACACAATTCAAGTTCATTTAGTGCTCCAATGTCCGAACCCAAGAAAGGAGAAGAAAAGGGTTTGGGGGGGTGGGGGTGGATTCCTTCCTCCCTAACCCCCCCGCACTGCAACAACCCAGGCGCCAGTCAATAATTATATCCACAAACTATCCAGGCACGTAGTGCAAGGCAAGCAAAAAAAAAAAAAAAAAAAAAAAAAAAAAAAAAAAAGAAAGAAAGAAAGAAAAAAAAAAAGTAGAAAAAAAAGAGCCCCACTCCCTCTCAACCCTTTAAAAATAACCAAAAAGAAGTCAAATACATACATATAAATAAAAAAAACACACCCTTACAGAATTTTGTCTAGTGGTCCTCACTAATGAGGAAGGAAACAATGCTAGTTATTAGAAGCAAGTGCATGTTAGAGAAACAAGCAGGGGGGTTGCAGCGTAGTACGGGCGCACTGCCTGTGCATGGCTGTGCGTCGGACTGACCTTGCCTCTCTGATACAAAGCAGGGGTTTCCGCGGCTTCTCCTGTGGAGGCGACTGATGGAGTTCTCCCTGTGGCGGAGGGTTGCCCAGAAGTCCCCCCGAGGTGCTGTCCAGCACCCCCGGTGCTGAAATCAAGCCGGACCGAAACACTCACGCTGCCATGCCAATGGCGCTGGAGAATTTCCGCAATCGCTGCATTTTGTGGCTGTCCATCCTTTTTCCTTCCTCCCCTTCGGTCCTCTTCAGCCTTTTTCTTTTTCTTTTTTTTCCCCTGGGCTCCGGCTCTCGCTTACAAGCTCTTTTCTTGTTCTCCTTCTCTTTCTTCTGCTCTTTCGGAATTACGTGGAGGGGGCGGAGGATGGGGGGCGAGTTTTCTGAGGGAGGGAGAGAGCGCGAGAATGGGGGGGGGGAGAGAAAAGAGTTGCTAAGAAGCTCTGCTCGTTCCAGCCTGGTGCACTCTGAAAGATCTGACACCCTCTGCTGATCTGCAGTAGCAAAAATCCATCTGGTGAGGGAATGCTGAAGGAAAAAAAAAATCAATCCACATACAGGGCAAGCGTTAAAAATGTGGGTATTAAAGATCGTCGAGCCACAAAGAGCTTATTTTAAATGGATTATTTAATTCCTTTTTGCGTGATGGAAACTTTACCCTTTCTTTTCCTTGACGACCTTACTGCCCCACTAGCTTCAGCGTTTGGAAAGGAATGCTTTTAAAACATTTATTTCCCAATGGCTTGAATAAAATTAGTGTCAGGGTGTCAAGCGAACAGCAATTTGAGGTAATTATATTGCACGCCATTTTCATCGATGCTTTAAATGCTTTTCTTTCCTGTCTGCAGTACAGTGTTATATGCAATTTGGTGTCACCGAGACCTTTTTTTTAAATTAAAGTGGCTATTTGGAACATATATTCATGACATATATTTTATACGATACCATAATTGGGTATGCTTCTTGCTATTGTTGTTGTTGTTGTTGCAGGGTATACAATTTAGACACATGCTTTTCTTTTTAAAACGGTATAGAATCTTAGTCAATTTGGTCACTGAGAGTTAGGTTTCTCTGATAATATTTCTTGAGTGTTATTTAAGTCTGCAGGGTTAAAACAAAATGCACGCTGGCGTCTCAGATGCCAGACAGAAAGCTTTCTCTGAGAACCAGAAAAGGTTGGAGGGGGCTGGGGAAAATCCCAATATGACTCGTGAGTGCTCTTAAAAACTCACTGTCAGACGCTCGCGCGCGCGTGCACGCGTGTGTATGTGTGCGCACACACACACACACACACAAGTTTCCGCATCGGTTCAGATAAGTTTAAAATGCATACAAGTAAATAACCAGTTGCATTTGGAAAGGGAGAGACAGAAATCCCCGGCCTTAAAGTCTTGGTGTGAAACGTTATCAGCAGGTATCTGGCAATTTCTCCACATGCTTATGCAGACAAGGGTCACTGCTTCTTCTGCAGCACAGCAAACTGGCTGTACCCAGAGAGGAAACAGCCTATTTCTTGAAAGTCTGAGGCTATAAAAATCAGTTTCTAAAATATCAGCAAAGAGAAAGAATGTGAGAATGCTACTTCTCAAAAGGCTGTTTTGCTGATTTTTAATATCAGAGTTCACAACCTTTCTATAAATACATTAAAAAGTGCTCGTCATTTTAGGATTTGGGATATACAAGAAATGAAAAAAAATGGTGCTTTTTTTTTTTTTTTCAGAAAAACTGAAGACAGTATCCTTGTATAATTTTCTCTTTCAATTAGACCTTCCACAGGTTGGACAGTTGTTACATATCCACTAAACTAAAGTATTTTTAAAAAATGGTGCATTTTGGGCAGTCTGAAGAGTGAAATATATCATATTTCAGTTCACTGGATGTAGTGGACTTTAGGCAAGTATAAAGAGAGAAGAGATCTTATTCAGAAAACCTATTACACTTCCAAAGCAATTCTGTTCTTATTTAATTTAACCCATTACCACATGTAGGGAAGGAAAAGAGCTTCATCAATTTGAAACCATTTCACCAAAACAAAACAAAACAAAACAAAAAAACAACAACAACAACAAAAACTGCTATGCATTGGAGAATTGCAGATGTGGAGGAGGGGTTAAACTGAAAGAAAGTATATTTCTGTTTTCCTATAGCAGGACTCAAGTCAGAATACTTAATGACCACAGGAGCCTCAGAAAAGAGGGCAGCTTCATGCAGTGGTAGTGATTGATAGGGAAAGGCAAGACTAAGAAAAAAAGACAGAAAAATGCTGACTATTTAGGGAGAACTCCTTTAATGGCAGTCATCTAAAATCACACTATTCAATTTACTTGGTTACTTGTTAATTCAACTTGCTGAATGAATACTTTATATGAAAGATGCAAAAAACATATTTAAGTTGAATTTTGGAAAACAGAACTGAGGTAACAAACAGTTGATCTTCACAGTTCATTCCCCATGCCAGCCTATTCAATTATATTTTTCTCTTGATTCATCCTTTCTTCTCAAAGCACCAACCAATCACACCAGGATTTTCCTATTTACATTATCAATTTTTCAAGTTCTCTCCTCCACAAATAGTTTATTATCTTTACATTCTAAGAAAAAATGTGGTGATCTCTCAGTGAGCAACCAAATCTCAGGTGAAAATATTAAGCTTATATCACCTATGTGTATATATCACTGCAAAATTGCAAGTAAGGAATAGATGTACACATAATTTTATTGAAGGTACATCCCTACTAATAAGCTAACAATATTCTAATTAAATAATTGTCTTCATAAAAGATATATTTCAAAGAAATAAAGCAGTGTGGATATGCTCACCCACCCTTCCAAGTGATAACTAGTCAACCATAACTATAAATTTCTTGGTAGGAAATAAAAATATATGGGAAGGTGCATGTGAACTAAACATTTTTAATGCCTTAGGGGAACATTTCTTAGCATGAACTCTTCATAAAAGGAGCCTACTATATCTATTTGAGCTCAAGTGAAGTACTTCAATTGCTTTGCCTCTCATAACAGATGATCTCAGGAGCCAGAGATAAAGGACACTCCAGATGATGATGAGAATTGATAATATTTGCTCAGGGCTGTAGTTTTATTTCTAGGCTGTGGCCAGACCTATTTCAATTGTGTCATTAAATGTTCATATTTTCTTATTGTTTCTCAAACAGGTTCATCTTTCAAGTGACAAAAGTTAGAAGTATACATCATAAAATCTTTCAGATAGGAAAGGAATTATCAATTAATCATCTATTTTGTTTTCACAAATGTGTTCAACTTTTCAGATGTTTTTCCTTTCTGTACATTTTCAGATAAAAGGGGAGATTTATAACAAATATTAATTTTCTTTCACTCTATTTGATCCTCTCCAAAACATTTAAATTATTATTATTTATCAGACAATCTCACTTATATGTAGACTATAAAGAAACCAACTAGAGGAAATGACTAAACACAATGAAATCAAAAACCTATAAATTGCACTTTGATAACAGAAGTGTGGTGATAGAGAGGAAGATGGGGGTTGGGAATAAGAGTATGCAGTGGGAGGTGCTTTTTTTATGCTTTGTTTAATAAAAAATAAACTTATCTGATTAGGGTTTTTACTTATAGAAATACTATTATTTATATAACAACTAAGAAATCTGTCTTTAATCTTCTCATCCATACTACTTTTAATTTCAGAAGGAACTACTGGCCATTGATTGGCTCATAATGATTTTTATATTATTGTATTTTACTGATATGGAAATTGAAATTCAGGAACAGTTAATAATCTACCCGGTTAAATAATATCCATTGAGGGGGCTCCCTGTTGTGCAAGTGGCTAAATCTCAGCATTCTGAAGCTATCCGTAGCCACTGAAACACAAGTTTCATCCCAACCAGGGAGTTGACCCACATGATGCAGCAGACTTCTCCTGTCTCACCCACTGCACCCTTCAGCAATGCATTTTGACCTGTATGCCTATTCTGCTCCCCTCTCTGTCTCTGGTGAATCCTCTCACCCCCCACACCTCTGGTCTATACATTGTTTTTAAAAATGTAGTTAGTTTTATCACTACATAAAAGTATACTAATTGGAACACACCAAAATATTTTTGCCTCTTCACTTGTGTCTTGAAGTATCATTTTTCTTTTTTGCATATTGTTTTTAAATTTATACAGGATTCCTTTATGGGATAGGTTTGGTTATTTTGGAATGGAAGTTTAACTCATAAGGTTTCACTTGTCTAATTGGACTTAGTGGAGAAGATACTGATCAAAAATTCAAAATTCATATGTGAGGAACCTCAAATGTCTGTATTTATTTATTTAATACAAATTAGGTAACTAACATTTTGCCTGAAAAAAGTTATTACTCTTATGCATATGCCATACCATACAATATACCACCCACTCCATACTATGTTATACTTTCATCATTCAACAAAGCAAAGAAGGCATATTATTGTACAATGCATATTAATTGGTGCTTAATTATACCATCAATAACTTATTCTACTTTTTAAGTTTCATATAAAAACTTGCTGATAACCACTAAGAGTTGCTTTGTCCTGTATGTGTTGATTTCCTATAAAGTACATATTATACTTATAGTATAGAGAAATACATATTTATATAAGTCTTGGAAAACATGGAAACAATAGCCAATAAATAAGGAACCTCCAGAATTCCAACATCCAGAAATTAGTACTAACATTTATATTTTAATACACTTTGCCATTTAATATTATACAAGAAAAGTTAAGACCCTGCTATAATGTTATATTAGAAATGGAATTCCGGCCCTCCCTGGTGGCACAGCGGGTTAAAGCACTGCACTAAGAAGCTGAAACCACTTCCGCATGAGTTCGATTCCCGCCTGCCCCGGAGGTGACCACATGGCGTGGCAGACCTCTCCTGACCCGCCCGCTGCTCCCCTCAGCAGTGTGCTTCCTGGATCTGCCTGTTCTGCTCCCCACTCTGTCTCTGGTGAAGTCTTTCACCACCACTGAGTCTCTGGCCTGTACCCAGTTCTGTATGCACCAATAAATAAATCTTTTTAAAAAAAGAAAAAAGAAATGGAATTCCTTTGTATACAATAAGCTAATTCATTGAACTATTTTCACACAAATGGATATTTTTGCTATCATAAGTAATGCTCCAAGCAACAGTTATGCACATAAATCACTACAAATACTGGTATCTCCTTATGTAATCCTAGAAGTAGAGTTGCCAGGTCAAAGTCTTGGAAAAATAGTAAGACTTCTGATACAAACTGACCAATTTGCTACTCAAAAATTTTCACCAAATTATTCTCCACCAGCAGTAGATCCCATTTACTGTTTATCTAAATCGCTGCCAAAGTCATTTATTATCCTTTAGAAAAGTTCCACTCAGTTCAGTATCTTTAAAATGAAAGCAATGGTTACCCATTTGGATGAACAATTCATTTCAATTTCTAATCTTTTCTTGAAT